AGCAGCACAGCGACAACAACAACAACAACAACAACAACAACAACAGCAACAACAACAACAACAGCAACAACAGTTTACGGATTTATCCTACGCATATTGCGCTGTTCACAGCTCCGTCAGAGGGTGTGTTAAACATAATTTTATGGCTTAGTTTACGCGCCTCGGCACCTTTTCTCTTCAGCTTTTAGTTTTGTATATATGTATATATTTTTTTGTGGAGTTGCTGCGAGAGCTGAATTGACTCTTTATGGCTCTTAACGCAAGCCGCAATGCGCCGTTGTGTGTTTTCTTTTTTTGGTTAGCTCAGCAATAGTTGTTATTGCAGCCATTGATGTCGCCTTTGTGTGGGCGAGCTTGGCTAAATGTTTTTGTGATAGCCATGAGTTAAAAGCCAAATAACAAAGCGCTTAAGATATTCGTAAGACAGCACCAAGGCATTAAGCTAAGCAAAGTGGACATACTAATTAAAATAATAAATATGAACAAAATTTTTATGTCTATTGCAAACAATTTAAATTTAAAGTCAACCATTTTTATTTATTTTTTTATTAATTTAAAAAAATAAAATTTTGGCCTTAGGCTTTCTTGAGGAATTTCCTATATTTTGAGTTAGTTGTTGTTAGTTGTTGCATATGCATACTATAAATATATAAATCGAAACATTGGCGAATATTTATTATTTCCTGTAAGTTGGCTACAATAAATTTTAGTCGCTGGATTTGTCGATATATGGATATGTAGATATATGTAGGAGGACCATTCTATTTACTAATTGCGAATGCTTCATTTATGGCATGCCACATTCAGGGAAGAGTGTGTATGACACAAGAGGAAAATAGATTAGATCCGTTGATTTGGAAAAGAAACAACCCCACTACACTCTTCAATACTAGCTACGAGCAAAATCGATACCAAAGTATGAAGTTTAAAATTCTCTATTATCAATATAATGAAGATAAATACATAACAGAATGAATTCATTCAAAATAGGTATGTTTCCATGCAGACAGTGGGTTCCTTCAATTCCTAAAAATTTAACGTAAAATTAAATTTAAATTAAATTAAATTTAAATTAAATTTAAATCACTTCTGAGATCTAAAACCAAATGAGGATGTAAAGTTCATGGTATTGCGAATGTCTTGAATATTGTATTTGGTCGCTCAGTTCGATTTGTAGATCTATTATAATTCCAACTCGTCCATTGTTATGATTGCTCCAAAGCTGAGAGACGGACAAAGCCATATGGCTATAAATATTCAGCTTTTGACCAATTGTTGACGTCGCAGACGTCGCGTCGTCTCATGTAATGCGTTTCACATTGTGTGACAAAATTATAATATCCTCTTTTAGGGTATATCAAGGCCACATCAAAGCGTCAGCAAATTGTCGGCAATCAATCGAGAAATGCTGGCGGCGTCAGCATCGTTTGTATTTATGGCCAACTGCAAAGACCCGTAAACATAAACATAAACATAAACTGCGAATAGCGAATAGCCAACATTTCAAAAGGCAGGCTGTTGATATTTGGATGCACTGGCTGCTGAGATATTTGTATTTGAATATCGATGGCAACAAGTGCAATCAGTCGATTGACTGCATTCGATTTGGCAGCTTGTTAGATGTTGCTGTTGCTGTTGGAGTTGCCGCTGATGATGTTGCTGATGTTGTTGCCTGTTATGCAAGCGGCAAAATGTCAGTCACTTGGCAACATGCGACTTGCCAATGAATGTCAAACATATTGGACCATTGCAAATGTCAGCAATTGACAGCCAAAGCACACACACACACACACACACACACTCACGCACATATATTGGTGTTGCACTTGTTAATGCCGTGTTGCCGACAACATGTTGCTGCTGGTACCCTGATTGGCCTGGCAAGCGACAAATTAGGCGCACAATCGCTTGACTTTTACCGTAGCAATGTTTATGGCCCATTAACTTGGCTTGCGCAAAGTTCACGCCACTCAGCCAACTAAAGTCAGCCAACGCCTTTGAGCATACGAGCGCACATTCACCTACTCATTGATTAAGCAATCTTTTCGTCTTTTTTTTTTTTTTTTTTTTTTGGTCAGCAGCCACAATTTCATGATATCCAATTAATTTTAAATGCACATGCTTGTCTATGCCAGCCGCATCGAGGCGAAGCGATGCGATACGCCCAGCCACCACAGCAAGTGCTTAAGGGTCAGCAATTTTTTTATTAACCTCGGTCACGCCAATATTTTGTCCATCGACTTGCCGATAAACCCATTATCACTGACCACTGACCACTGACCAGCGATAACTTTCTCAATTCCAATTGCAATGCTTAGGCCCGATGCTGTGACCCATTTGACCAAATCTCTGGCATTAGTTGAGCCGCATAAATTGCTGGGCCCAACTGTCGCCTCCACTCCCTCGTTTTGATCGATTGCGAATTATTGTCTTTGGCACCGTCTACTGCGGCTGCGGCCATATAATTTCTGTTGCCCCAAAAAGTCAATTGATATAGACAAGAAATGTTAGTATTTTCGTGTATACTCAGCTTGAGCTAGAGCTCCCAGCTATGAGTTGCCAGCTGAAGTTGGGCCGGCTTGCTGATTGACCGATGGCAGATGGTTCGGTCGAGAGTTCGATCTTTGCCCATTTTCAGGCATTTGGGCTGGATGGCTGAAAGGCCCAAAGACAAGTTCGTCCGTGGCTGCGGCTATGACTAAGTGAACTGTGTGATAAAGCTGTAGACGTTTTGGCAAATTGATTTTACGGCCAGAATTTCAATTCCGACTGCGAAATAACTCAACTGTTGCTTTGGGGCATACTTAGACTTTAAACAGATCGTTGGCCAAAGATTGGCCGTCGAGTGCTGGGAGCGGCGGAGGGTGGTCTCTATGATGTGGCGATAAGTAACTGGTAGATGATTGTTATTTTAATGTTATGGTCAGGCCTTGTGTTTCGCTGCACACAAAGACGGTGTCGAATTGCGTGGGCGTTACTAACGGATTGACAAGAACGAAGAAGGAGCGATAGAGAAATTACCTTTTAAGTCACAGGCGATTGAAAGTGGAACAGTCAAATAAAAAGGCGAATGCAAATCGTATATCTCAGTTGAGTGTTCAATCATAAATTATAGCATTGCCATATCGTGATGTCTCGGAAAAAGCCCCTTTCACGCCGATACAACTTGACTCCACCCTGCACTCAAATCTTCTAGCCTTGCGCTGATTTCCTAACAGCAACAGCAACAGCAAAAGCCAAAGCAACAACAATAACTTAAACAATTGAGTGCATTATTCGCGGCACAGCAAATTATAAATTAAGTACTAATTATATAAAATGCAACAACAATAAAATCAACTCGACAGTTGAGGCAAAGCAAATCAAACAAAGCCGCCTCCAAAAAAAACCAGAATAGAAAAATGAAAATCGAAAAGAAAAACAAAAACAGCGAGAGAACGTGTGCGGATTGTGGCCACGCCCACTTAATGCAAACTGCGTGGGCGTTACGCTAATGATCAAAACTTTTGCATATTGCAATGCATGGATGGAAGGTTTGATAGTTGTTGTTATTGTTGTTGTTTTTGTTGCTACTGCTGCTATTGCAATTGCAATTGTTGCGGCCGCAGTTGTTGTTGCGTCTTGAATGGGTGATAAATTATTTCCCGCCATTTGCATAAATGCTTTGAATGCATTAATTGAAGTCCAAAGGCACACAAGCTTGCAACGCCCTCGACACGCCTCCCCCACACCCCGATTGGCCTTTTGCCATTCGCCGTTGCGTGCTGCAGTTGTCGATCTAATCAATTGCAGTTTATTGTTGGCCAGGCCCATAGAGAACCCATAGAGCGGCCCATTAACCATGTGAGCACAGCACTTGTATGCCATATATGCGCACTGTGGCTGTATCTAGATGTATCTATGTATTTCTATCTCTATCTGCGTATCTGTATCTCAATATATTCGCCTCTTTAAGTGGCTGCCGCCTAATTGTTCATAAAAGTCAACAGTCAATAGCTCTTTATGTTTGCCTTTGAAATTTATATTTATTTATCGTTATTTTCAAACACAATGGATATCGTATACGGTTGGTTTGCTGTTTTTTTTTTTTTTTTTTTTTTTTCTTTTATTTGTTAGATTTGTGAAGCTTCATAATTTTGCAAGACATTTGCTTAGCAGTAGCCATTGGCTGACTGAGCTGCTGATTTGAATTCAAGGTCTGCCGTTCTTTGCAATTAGTCCCAGAATTTATGAGCGATTTCAATTTTGAATTGTTCGCAATCGGAGCCGTTGTTGTTGCTGCCGCTGTTATTGGCTAACTAGTTTCAAACATTGTTGCAGTAGTCAGTTCGCCGGCCAAAATCAAGCACTCAAATCTTCAAACAATTTGCTAAAATTCTCATAAAAATACCTACTAAAAATACATATAAATTAATATTGTATATCTAGTTTAATACCCTGAATTTGTTGAGAATGGGAAATCAGGGTGTAATGTTTATATTAAAATGTATGTAAGAGGCAGAACGAGGCGTGCCTGATCTCAATAAAACTAAGGTCCCTGATGTTATTTTTTATTTCCTACTAAGGTCCCTGATGTTATTTTTTAATTCCTACTTCCCTAGTCGGATGCTCCGACGAGATATGTCTTACTTGTTTTATAAAATATTTTCAAACGCAACGCGGAAAATATGATATGAGAGCATATTTAATTACATATGATTTTTTGGATAGATTAGGTAAGACAGCCCCTGTCCTAGAAAACAATTATGCAGTTAAGCTGATATTTACTCGATGCCCGATAAGACCAATGAACACCTCCTGAATTTGGATATAATTGAATTACTGGCCTGGTTCAATCAGATAAAAATCAGTCACAGCCATTAAAACCGCACTGGCTCCTTAGAAATGTGCCTAGTGTTTCTTGGACTACCACAGAGTTTTGACTACTGGAGAAACGTAAAAAATGTTATTTGGCCTCTATTCAGCTTTGATAACAAGAAGTCTTGTTAAAGTGATAGTTCTTCTTCAATTTTGTGGACAATACGATGCACGAGACGAGACGAGACAATCTGAAGTGGCTCAAATTCTGCAAAAACTCAACTCTGTATTCGGAATAGAACTTAACCTCTTTATTAACATGGAGAGTACCGATGGAGAAGCAATGCCGTTACAGTTGGATACGCCCAAAATGCTAATTCAACTATCGAATAACAGCAATCCAGATTTTAAACTTCTTGGAAGATTTACCGAAAAAACGTTAATCATAGTTTACATACAGGCCTATCCACTCGACCCTCGGCTCATGAACTTTTTGCCACGCCTTTTGTGGGAGCTTCATGAACTTAACATTATTTTTATAACTAAGGAAGATCCCAGCAACTGGCAGAATGATCTCTACAGCTACTGCTTTTATAACGGATTCATCAATGTGCTTCTCATTCAGAAACTACGACCCGAGATTCTGTTATACAGCTACAATCCATATCCAACAATGCGCACATTGCGATTACCGCTGCTAGAGGACTACCTCAATAGGTGGCGCCAACTATTGAATCTTCAACAATATCCGGTGCGGACACTTTTATTCTCGGTTGAGCCCCGCATTTTTCAATACATAAATCGAAAAGGTGAGCGGATCCAAAGTGGCTACTTGTACAATGTGCTCAAGGAGTTTACGGACCGGCACAATTCTTCGATACAAATAGTGAAGGAAATTGACGTTGATGAATTGTACGATACTGGTATTTCTCTATATATAAACCGTAGCATTGATATTGTTTGTTATATCAAACACTCCCATTTAAACATTACATCCACTAAACCTCTCCATCTCGTTCCATTACGTTTAGCAGTGCCCCATAGCAAGCCAATTGCGAGCTATTTGTACTTTGTGCGCCCTTTCACTTGGACTCTGTGGCTTGCAGTGATTGCAGCTATTGGGTACGGAATGCTGATGCTTTATGGTAGTAACAGAAATAGACGCACAGAGATTGGCAAACATTTTCTAAGCAGTTGGTGCAATTTGCTGTTTATCTCACAACCAAGGATCATCTTTGCCAACTGGCAACAGGTTGTCATCCACTATATAATGCTCCTAAGTGGATTCATACTGACGAATTTCTATCTGGCATTGCTTTCAAGCATGCTAACATCGGGTTTGTTTGAGGAGGATTACAACACATTCCAGGATTTGGAACGTTCTCCTTACACATTGTTAACTGACAGTTATTATGCTAGTTTTATGAATGAGTCATCTTACATGCCAGAAATCATCAAGCAACGCATTAACGTAGCTGACTCGAATGTCCTTGAAACGGCACGTGTTACTATGAACACAAGCTACATGTATACTCGATATGAAGATCGCTTAGATGGCTTTCTATTTCAGCAGCACCTTCTGAAAGTTCCCCTCTTCAAGGTGATACCGAAAAGTCTTTGGGATGGCTTCATGTCCTTTCCAGTGGTCAACGGATTGCCCTACTTAAATATTATGAATACTTATCTAAGTCGTATATTTGAGCACGGCATTTTGTCGAAGATTAAGACCGATACATATCTCGACGCAATCGAGGGTGGCATTACGAAATTTATTGCAAGTGACGGGATTGAGCGGAAACCATTCTCTGTGGAATTTTATTACTATGCATTTGCATTATGGGGCGTAGGCCTAATACTAGCCTCACTCTGCTTTTTCCTGGAGTTACTGAGACATCGCATGACTAATCAAATTCAAATGTAATGTTAATGTTAATTATGTATTTAACACATACTAATAAACTTGGGCCTAATAACGGGGTCTGCGCTCAGCTATAGCTATAAAAGCAGTTCATGGTGTCTCAGGCCTACAGAGCTCCAATGGATTTGCTATACTTGAACACGCTGCAGAACTTGTCGTTGGTGCCGGGCCGCTTTGTCAGCCAGTGCATTGACCAGCTCAACGCTTTGTACAACATAGAACTGAATGTTTATGTTGAGTTCGGAAATAGATCTGTTTTCGATGATCTGTTGCCAGCCAGAGAGCAGTTTCTGCCAACACTGCGGGTAAGCAATGCGACGCTGCAGCTCGTACTAAGCGGGAACTACAGTGAGCGAGCCTTGACTATCATATTTCTGGAGGATGCGCATACCGACAGCATGGTCAGCTACCTCACATCCTGGCTCTGGCGTGCCCAGCAGCTGCAGGTATTCATCGTTTATCCAGGGGCAACGCCAGGCAAATTATTCCAGCTCTTTTCGCACTGCTGGCGTCAGGGCATGGTGCACATTTTGGTGGCGCTGCCGCATACTCAGGAGCTCCGAAGCTACATGCCGTACCCAAAACTTCGACTACTAGTCATGCAAAATACGCTGCAGTACTTTCATCGCACCCGTGGGTTGCTTTGGGACTTTCATGGCTTTCCGATAACTTGTGGAATCCTGCCCAGCAGCGCACCCCGGGCCTTTCTCTTTAAGGATCAGCACAATCGAACTGTGTATGCTGGCTATATGCTTCGCATGGTCCTGGACTTTATTCAGCACTATAAGGGCAGCATACGAACTCACATGATGGACTCCTTGAGAGAAGCAAATGAAGCGCTTAGCACCCGCCTTGTCGACTTTTTGCCATACCTGCTAGCAGAGACTCCGAACTTCACGAGCAGCGTTGTACTCTGGCACGAGAACAGCTATCTTATGGCGCCATCAGCCAGGCTGCTGCCCAGGTACATGTACCTTCTGAAGCCCTACACTTGGCACACTTGGATGACCTGTCTGGGCATGCTGAGCTACTGCAGCGGGGCGCTGTTTCTGCTTTCTCAAGGTCGCGTAACTTTGAGTGATGCATTTTTGCAAATTCTGCGACTTTTGCTTTTCTTGTCACCTGGTAGAGATCTGGCTGCTCCTCCAAGACCTCGCCGGCTTTTAGTTTACGTTATGATGATAATAGCTGGCCTCATGCTGACCAATCTTTACCTGGCGAAGCTCTCCAGCAATTTGGCGGCGGGCCTCTATGAAAAACAGCTGAACAGCTTCGACGATTTGGAGGGGACGGACTACAAACTGCCCCAAGAGGAAGTCGAGTATAAGTTCCTAATCAATCTGCCCGACCTGCATCCGCAGCTGGCCAAACGCCTCGTAGTCACACCGGAGCAACTGGTAGACAGATATCGACTCGAGCTGAACGTCAGCATGCTGCACAATGGCTTTGCGGATAGCATTGAGTTTGCCTTGTACCAGCAGAAGTTCTTGCGCGTTCCTCTATTCCACAAGCTACCGCAGATCATCTACCAACAGCCCTTTTTCATGCCCGCGGCCTACGGGCGACCCTACCTAAAGATCTTCAATTGGTATCTGCGGCGAATGTTCGAAGGTGGAATCTTGCTGAAGATGAAAAGCGATGGCTTCACCAATGGGATCCAGAGCGGACGTTTGCGATTTGTGAACCATGCTAAATATCAGGAGGTGCACTCCAATGATCTAGAGTACTACTATGCGGCAGCTGCTCTCTGGTTGATTGGTATATTGCTGGCCTCTTTGTGCTTTATCGTTGAGCGCTGGAGAAGCTAATTTCGGATCAAGGCGTAAGCAACACAAATTTGAAAAGCTTTGGCATTCTCGTTTTCAGAATATTTTTATTCACAAAATGTACTTTACTTTCTTATTATACTATGTCAATAAAATATTTTCATAGCCTGACCCACTGAAAATGGGAAATCAGGGTATAATGTTTCTGTGAAAAGTATGTAACAGGCAGACGGAATTATCGCAGACCCCATAATGTATATATATTCTTGATCAAGACGAGGAGCTGAGTCGATATAACCCTGTCCGTCCGTCCTTCCGTCCATATGAACGCTTAGATCACAGCTCTCCTAACATCATCACAATCATAGAAACTATCGACAGCATCGTAGCCGTCGATATAATTAGGTATCGATGGACTTATATCTATTCCCACTACTCTAATTAATTTTAAGACTTTAACGGGTATGATATTTTTATGCAACAAATATGACATTAGAATTCTCGTCCTCCACCTTGATCGGGTCCTCCAGAAGCAACATGATCATACAAATGCCTCATTTGCATCACCACCGGGCACACTTGTCGTCTCGGCTCTGACACCGGGCGGGCTGGCAATCACAAACTTCCAACTTGCAACTTCAGCTTGCAGCTGGCAGATTGCAGCTTTCAGTTTGGGGCTGCCTTCTCTGTGGGCGCTGAAGGTGTCTTCGGTTATTGGCAAACATTAATTATTTACTCGCGCTCGGCTCTCGACTCGGCTAACTTCTGTGTGCTGTGTTTGTTTTTGTTGCTTTTGCTGGGGCTTTGTTTATGCTGCTCGTTGTTGTTTTTGTGAAAGGCTCGGGGAAGTGATTCAAATGTTTATTTGGTGGTGTATCTTTGATTGCAGACTGGCTGCACACACACACACACACACACACAGATACAGAGACAGAGACAGGCCACAAACTTTGCGCAATGAATGTGCCCAGGCTCGGTCAGGCTATTCAGGTATCTCATTCGCTTGGTCTCTGTCTCTTCAAGACTTTGCTATTTATTTTTGGCCGAAATTGCACATTTTCCCATGCTGCTGTCGTTGCGGTAGCGTTAGCTGCTGTTAGCTATTAATGTTAGCTGTTAACTGTTTGTTGTTGTTGTTGCTGCTGTTGTTGTTGTTGCTGCTGCTGCTGCTGCTGCTGCTGCTGTTGCTGCTGTTGCTGCTGTTGCGTCTAATCAAGGAGCGGAGTCACAGCAGCAACAGCCTTAGCCTCAACGCTCTGGCCTGCTTGCCCGGCCGGGCTGTGCCGTGGCCGCCCACTGCCATTTGGACCCCGAGGCAGCCAAAACGATGAATATTGATTTAATTGAAAGTCATTGAGGCACACGTACTCATAGGCACAGAGACATAGAGACACAGAGACAGAGAATCAGAGACAGAGACACACGCGGCGTGCCGTTTTCCGTTTGGCGTGGCTCCAACTCCAATGGCGACGCTTCAACTCCAACGCCGATATCTCGCCGTGGGCCCTCCCACATGCCGCCAACATCATCCACATCCACGGGCAGAGCCAGAGCCAGAGCCAGAGCCACAGCCACGTCCACATTCATGCACAACGCCCAAACATTTGTTGCTGGCACATTGACACAGTTTCTATGCAACGGGCAGATGTGCCGCTCATTGCCGCTGCCCGCACCGCGCCGCGTCTCTGGCTGTGCCACCACGTTGCAAGTTTGTCGACATGTTTTTCTTTTGCTTGGCGACGCTGCTGCCAAATGTCAAGAGGTTAATACGTGAATTAACAGCAAATTTCTTTGACTTGTGTGTGCTTGCATGCTTGTTGTTGTTGTTGTTGCTGTTGTTCTTGTCGCTGTTGTTGCTGTTGTTTTTGCTGTTCGTGCAGCTGCTGGCGCTTTCATTGGAATGCGGGCGTTGCACAGTTTTGTTTTTGTTTTCTCTGCTTTACAGCCACAGCAGTCGAAAATGCATTAGGCTGGCCCAACCACACAACATGTGGCCGATTATGTTAAGCGATAGATCAGGCTGTGTTTTTCAAGATATTACATTAACATTTTTGATGCTTGATGCTTTCAGTATGCCCAAGCATTCGTTTATAAATCAAACGGAATTTCTCCAAGTTGAATACTTTGCATTTCTGATCAGCAAAAGAAAACAACAATTCTGAAATTTGTATTTTTGGAAATAGTTTCTGGTGTTACTGAAAATTTTATAAACTAAAATTACAACGCGAGCTAAATCACCCAACTCTATATCCTAATATCTATATTATGTATGTTTATATATGCTATCAAATGCGAAGAGGCCCTTTCTATGACGTTTAACAAGTCTAATACATAAATCTATATTTTAAATATGGGCAAACACAAAATTGATTAAATTTTATATTTAAGCTAAAATATGTATACTTGATACTGTATGAAAGATACATACATACATACTATGTATGGTTGGTGATTGATGTACATACGCTTTCACTGTACAGTACTAGTTGCTTCGATCGGGTTTAACATTTACTCTAATGTTAAAATTAATCCGAATCAATTACTTTGCATTGACTTCACAGATTCTTTGATGCACATTTGTATAACAGAATAAGCTTTACCTAGTGTTGTCCTTGCTGCATAGCCGAGTCACAAACCGTGCATCCTTGCAAGCTGCACAGCTTTGCCGGTAGATGGCGTGATAGGCAGGGAAGCACCTCTGCTTTGAAATGAATAATTTCATCGAATATAAAATACCATAAAAATAATTAAGTCAAATCATTGGGCATATCTATAGAATTTTTTTTTTTTAGTTTTATATTTACGATTATAATGCAGACTCCTTACTGATTTATATTGATAAGAATTATAAGAAATGTAAGCATTAAATAATTTAAGTTTCAAGGATACGCGTTTTATACCTAGCGATAGAGGAACATCGCTAAATAGACTAAGATTATAATTTTATTTAGTGTATGCATATCATTTAGAATATATGAATTCCACAATTGAATAAGTCTATCATATTTAAATTTAATAAAAAATAATCTTACAGCCCATTTTAACATGTAAGACTTAATTTTCAATTACACATTCCATGCGGCACGCTCGCTCGTTCGCTTGGGTCGCTAACCCACATAGATTACCAAAGTGCGATTAACAGTTACAAATATACAAAAAATACATACAAAATAGAGTCGTACGTCTATGCAAATTTCTGTGCGCAGTTGGCAGCAAGTGCATACAATTTATTAAATATATATAA